AGGTAGAATATTACACTAGTGAAACGGGCTGTCCCTAAATCCCCAAGATTAGGATGATTGATTGCCACGTCAACAATATTTTGGTGTTCTTGGGTTCATCTTTACAATTTTATTACTTGTGATCGTAAATCCCAAGAAAATTGGTATCATAGCCTCCAAGGTGTCTGGGTTTGTGCTTTTTCATGAAACACATTTTTTAGTACATTGGTAGCGTGTCTGCATAGATCTAAAGATCTAGTTTTTTTTTTTTTTTTTTTTTTTTTATCAGAGCCTCCAAGGTTTCTAGGTTTATGCTTTTTCACGAAAGATTTTTTTTAGTACATAGGCTTCGTATCTGTGCAAATCTTTAAAGATCTAAACATCTAGTATTTTCTTTGGTATCTTGGACTTAACTATGACAAATCTGGGTAACTTGCCACTCAATGATTTGCTAGCTTCTTGAATAAGATTTCGGAGTAAGAAGGGAAGAGGAAGATTCAAATCCAAAGATAGAAACAATAAGAAATGCTATAACTAGGGGAACTTAGGACATTTTAAGATAGATTGCTTTGACGGGAAAATGAAACAGAAAGAACTGAACAATAATGATCTAGTAAAGCTGCTATAGTATTTGAATCAGATAGCCTATATGTACTAAATGTGTCAAATGAAGAGCCTAATAAAGACTGGATTCTAGACACAGGGTGCACTTTTCATATGTATCGTTAAAGGTCATGCTTTTATAATTACAAAGAAACAGAACCAAGGAAGGTACATATGGAAGATAATAATTCTTAGATTGTGATTAGAACAAGTGACATTTAGGAGGGACCCACATGGGGTCAAATGACCTCACAGTTTTTTGAATTTTTTTTTGTTACTTAATTTTCTGTCCCAAAAAGTCTAAATTCTATATCTATATTCATATCACATGGTCCATATTCATTATTTAGGCCATAGATATATCATATAATCCACCGATTTCTTCTCAAAGTGCAAACACCCGATTTCTCCTTTTTGTTCATGATACATTGTTCGAAAAAAATTTCTTTTTTGACCCCACAGTTCGAAATGTTTGGCTCCGCCCTTGGTGACATTGACATCAAAATATATAATGACATTGTCAAGCCAATTAAGAATGTGAGATATGTTCCAAATCAGATAAGAAACCTTATTTAATTAGGGATTCTTGAAGATGAGGGATATACCTTCAAATTTGATAATAAAGTTCTGAAAATTATGAAAGGCTCCCTAATTGTAATGAAATGACCTAAAAGAAATGGTCTATGCTACCTTGAAGGCAAAATAATTACTACACCTGATTACAGTCTATTGATTGTTAATGAAAATAAATTTGAACTTTGGCACAGCAGAATAGGTCATATTGATAATAAATGATTAAAATAATCTTTAAATAACAAAAAGTTATTTGGGAAAGATGATATTAAGACATTGGACTTCTGTGAGACATGACCCACATGATTTTTGAAACGAGCTCACATAGAACCAATAGACCCTTAAACTATGTACATGCTGATCTATGGGGTCTTGAGAAACATTCCACATTTGGTGTAAGCAAATATTTCTTGTCCTTTGTAGATGATTATTCTAGAAAGGTTTCAATTTATCCTTTAAAGGTTAAATCTGAAACCTTTTAGAAGTTTAGAACCTAGCTCAAAGCTATTAAGAATCAGTTATACAAAAAATTGAAAATATTATGTATTGATAATGGGCTTGAGTTCTATAATTTTGAATTTGACAAATTCTGTAAACAAATGAGAATAATGAGACATTGAACTATAAAACATATACCTTAACAAAATGGGTAGCTGAGAGAATGAATAAGACTATAATGAACAAAGTTAGATGTATGCTTAGCATCTCTGACTTAGCCAAAGATTTATGGGCTAAAGCTACCTGTACTGTAGCCTACTTGATCAATAAGTCTCTTCCTAGTAGTATAGGCTTTAAAACTCCACAAGAACTATGGACATCGGAACAGGCCTAGTTCTACCCAGTTTTGGCCCAAGGAGAACTAGGTAGCTACCTTGAGCCTCATATTTGCAGGGGCCTCTAAAATGTTAAAAAAAAAAAAAAAAAAATGCAGCTTAAACCAAACCCCAATACCCTCCAAAACCACCCACTTACTCAAAATAATACCTTTTTATATAGGTTAGAAGATAGACAGTGAGAAGATTAAAAAACGACAGAAATTCAGATTGTAGAGTTAACAAAAGTAGATTTGCAAAAGAAATTACAAGTAATGGTTTCGTGTTCCTTAATTTCTATCTCGTCTCATGTATTATTTTCAAAATTTTATTTTTCTCCATTGTTCATTCAATTAAGAATGACTCTAATGTGCAATAAAATGTGGGTTTCTCTAATTTGAGAAGGAATGAAAGTTGTTTTTATAGGTTTATCGATCACTTGAATTCTATAATAGATCTGATGCATAATATAGGCATATTGAATTTTACATTGGATATTGATAATCCTGTTTGCCTGTTAAACTTAAGTAAACGGTTCAATAACTTTGCTTTTATGTATTTCGTTAAATGTTAATGGCTGAATTTTAGCCTGGGATGACCAGGAAAATGAAAAATAAAAAAGAGAATACCCGGTGCATGTACTTGTGGGCCTTCAGGTTCTATTGGAGCTCCAAAATTTTGGAAAGGATTAAGGAAATTTCTTTCTTGAATGAGAAAAATATACGTTTTTAAACTTTCATTGCTTAACGTTTTTATAGTACAAATGGTATGAAGTAATATTATTCACAAATGAAGTGATATTATTCACAAATGGAACTACAGGGAAATAGATTTTATATGTACCAGAAAGAATGAAAATGTTGAAGCATGATTAACATCCTAATAAACCCCTGGTATACCATCATCGTCAGGTTTAGTATTATCTGGTGAAGATGGAATTGTCTTGAGAATATCCGCCATTGTTTAATTGATGATTATATTTAATCAGCCATCTAAAAAATTTATTAGTTTGTCATATTTTGCTTTATTAGTCGCTCTGGGTCTCAAATTTCTCAGGGACGGCCCTGCATGGGAGCCTCCAAACTTAACTCATATAAGAGTTTTTGGATGTGCTACACATGCACATCAGTCACAAGGAAAACTTGAGCCAAAGGCCATCAAATGTGTGATGCTAGGCTATTCAGAAGGTGTAAAAGAATACAGGTCATAGGTTTTAGAAAAAAACTTTTAGAACCGGTGGATAATAAACTCTCAAATGTAGGTTGGACAATTTTTAAAAATCGCTACTAAAATCAATCAAAATTGATAATCTCATAAATGCTCAAAATCGATACTTTAAAAAATGCTCATAACTGATGCGTTGAAACTCCTAAGCAGGCCATTAGGGATTATTAAAGATAAACATGTTATAATTTCCACAAGTGTTTTTTAACATATACTGTAGTGCGGATTTTTGAGAATTAATTTTTATTACGTATTATTACATTTGTATACAGTTAGTTAGTTAGTTGATTAGTTAGTTAACAGCTGGAATTAGTTGACAGCTGGAATTAGCTAGCTTCTTCTGTTTCCTTTCTATTTATACTTGTGTTGTAAAACTCTACTCATTTTTCCGGTGATCAAATAAAAGAGTTTCTCTCTCTTCCTCAATTCAGTTCCAATAATTTTCGATCCAAAATTTACAGTTGATGCTGCTTTTAATAGTTTATCATTTTTTTTATTTTTATTTTTTTTGCCTTTACGAGTTAATCTTGAGCTTTGGAGTGGATTTTTGTGCATGCCTTGTTTAATTAATTTTTGTATTGTTAGATTACAAGAATGTCAAGTGATTTTATACTTTATTTTTGTAACAAGTAGTAGTATACTTTATTTTTATAATTTTTTAATATAAAGAACCAAACCGTGACCGACCAAATTGAAATCGAGTGGTTCAATTTCAATTCGATTTTATAGTTATATATGGAACCAATGGTTCCATTTTAAGATTGCTATTGATATCCGATTCTTTTGTTTCCCTACAAAATCGGATCAAACTAGTTCGTGCCCACTCTTACTTTTTTGTTGTGCTTTACATTAGAAGTAATTTAGTTAAGAAGTTCACTTTATTTTATGAAGCTTTTGATTCTTACATAGTTCTTTATCTTCTAGAAACAATAGAATTCCACCTCTAAATTTAGATTATCCTCTTCGTTTTGTTTGAAATGGACATGTCGAAATGTGTTCTCTTATTTGAATTTTCTGTAAACAAATAGATTCAGCCATGGGATGAGTATTTTGTAAGTAAAACATGGGTCATATATGTACTACTTGAAAAGCAATATATTTTATTCTCTACACATTATATGGCACATAATTCAAATAGAATAATGTTATTTTATCTGGAATTTAGATCATTGTCATCAATTTATATAACAATAAAGTTACTGTCATATTGTCCAATGTCTAAAAATGCATGTAAATAAAATTGAATAATGTAACAATGACTTCACTTCCACCACATAAACCTATGGTCATCAATATGAATCGTAATACTCTTTTATATCATCTCCAGCTTTGTTTGGCAATCTTGTTTTAGGGATTAGTTAAGTACACAATTCTTACATCAAAAGATAATTTAATTGAAGAGAAACTTTAGGGAATATTAATCTACATTATTAATGGAGAGAATGTTCCTCAAGTCAATACGAAAAAGCAGGGGCACTGTAATCTTGGAAACACAGACATTCACGACACAACCTCACATTGAACTAAAGATAATTCTATTGTGCCCCTCGTGGGATAACCGAATTGATGGAGTAGGTGAGCGCGAAAATCTTTGATCACGAGTTCGATTCTCCCTAATAACACTTTTTCCGGCGAACCTATTGCACAAGGTTTGTCTAGTGCAATTTATCTCGCTGGCGTTGCTTGCAGGTTGTTACGTCAGTCCAAGGGTTTACTCAGTATGCACCCGAAGGTAGCGACTACGAGTTCCCCCATTATCCAAAAAAAAAAAAAAAAAGAGGAATATTTCTATTGCATTGAAGAAACATATAATCTCAAAAAAACCTAATTGCATTAACAAATAACATGACATAATCCATTGAAATGGATTTCTCCAACATAGAATCAGAGGTATAACAAAATTGGAATCTTAAAAGAACAGAATACGTTTATTCATTCTTCATCCTCAATAACTTGGGTGCCCAATCCCTTCAACCCACCCTCTGGGATTTCTGCAACGGTTACCAAAGAGTAAAGCTCATCTTTAGCATCTTCATCGTCATTCCTCTTGCGAGCAACGCGCACCCGGATTCTCCTTGGCACACTACGAATTCCACGGCTCCATATCTGCTTGTTCAACTTGACATCAACTCTAACATCAGTGGTTCCCATGGCCTTCTGAGCAAATTTCCTGATTTCCTTGATGGCTTTTGGAGCCTTCTTCTTGAAGGTGCTGCACATTACACAACAAATAAAACATGAACATTTTTTTCCCTGAAACAAATACAGCCCATGTTTGTTGGCCATTACAAAGAGAAATTGGGGGAAAATGATGTTTCAAATAGTGATTTTCCGAAAAATGTGTGGTTAAAAAATAGGAAAAAGTTTTGGTTTAAGTGTAGAATAAAATTTGTGTAAATGTCGGGTTGAAAATGAGAATGAGAAATAAAGAGTTCTAATTTAAAGAGAGTCAAACAGCAGCATAATCAGATTTTGGAGATATATCAGAGCCGTCCATGAAAAGACCAGTAGACGCATGTTCCAAATAATGCAGCAACTTCAAACCCATTGAGATCATAAGAAACTGCTTTCACTTTAACAATAGTGGAGTTTGAGCCTGATTATATTAATATATATAAATTAGAAGATGCCATTGTTATTAGAAGAAAAAGAAAATCTCTTCTACTTACTTTGCTGCTAAAGATTTCAGTTTTAGAAATTTGTGGCTATAAGAAACCATTATATTTATCCAACTTCAGAAAGACATTTTTTCTTTGATTGAACATCTAAAGAAACCAGGCATTTTGGAGTTTCAATCACAAAACTTCAAACCACTACAGATGCATCTCTTTTTGCTTCAACCAGAAAATTGTTCCATAGAACGATAACTATGGTAGCGTGTCCGTGTCCGACACTTGTTGAACTCGTGTTGGATACTGACACTTCTCCAACACTCTACTGTAGTCATTTTCTTTCTGTATCAAGAATATTATGTATTTTTAACTCAAAATTTATATTAAATAACATATAGATACTCATATTTAAAAGATATCAAAATAATAATAATAATAATAATAATAATAATAATAATAATAATAATAATAATTAGTAACACATAAAAAACTAAATTTGTACTATATAAATAAATAATTAATAGATCTTAATTAACACACGTATTAGTGTGGTGCATCATAGGTTTGGAGGGCCATAAGATAGCCATAACACTATCAACTGGGTAACAACTTATATCAATGAATGTTATCAATTAGATTCCTTGGATTTTACGCTCTCTTCATAGATATACGCTCATATTTATATTTCAATTTGAAATTCGAGATTCATAGAAAGCAGAAGCTCATTCACTGGGTTTACATCCTTAATTATCTTGCTTGTAAATACAATAAATACAATTCACTTCTTACACTTTTCAAACATAAAGGCTCAAAGGTAAAAAGGAGCTGTAAATTCTACAAAAGCCAGCAGGTCATTCAGCAAAACATTTTAACATTAAATACAAAAAGGGATTTTATCCAACAACGAAATTGCAAAAAAAGCAGTTCAATTCACCAAACCTCATCCGAACAGTTCAAAAATATAAATATAAACAGATACAATAAACAAAAACAGTAAAGAACATATTTGAATTTGTACTAAAAGTGAGAGAAAAAGGTACCATCCATGGAGACGTTTGTGTAGATTAATTGTGTACTCCCTTGAGACAACCTCCTCTTTCCTGGCCTTGTTACCTTTCTCTACCATTGTTACTATCACTTCCTTTTTCGAGTTTAGGGGCAACTGAAAGAAGAAGAAACCCTAATAGCTATAGGTTGGATTTGGGTTGGGCTGGAGAGAGGTCTCGACGAAGGAAGCCCAATGGATGTAATTCCAGTTGAGGAAATTAGGCCCAATACTGCCCCAAATCACTAAAATTGAAGAATACTCTTAAAAAATAAATTTTCATTAATCTTTTTATTTAAAAGTAAAATATACGTCCAAATGAATGAAAATAAATCATTTACTGCCACTATTAAACTAGACTTTCTTTTTCTATTCGTTCAATCCAAAATTTTTAAAGAGACAATCACAAGTAGAAAGAAATAGCAGTTGCAGCCAGGTTGAATACAAACATTTTGAGTTATGAGCCACAATTGACTTGAGAAAATGCAGATTTGCATTTAAAAAATATTTTTTCATTAATATTTTGCTCATCATTTTCATTCATTTGATTTTGAACAATCATTTTATTAATATTTTGCTCATCACAAGAAAATACATATTTATGTTTAAAAAATTTATAGTGAATTTGATACAAACATTCAATTCAAGTAATCGAAAAGAAACATATTTAATCAATATTCAATACTAATAATTAATCAAATAAACACAATTTGTTAAATATAAGTGAAATTGGATGTAGTCGGTTCGGACACATTCTATATACACAAATAGGATATGAGAAAATGCAAATTTAAGTTTTAATTAATTGAAAATTTGATTGAAAAAAGAAAATTTATAGTAGATACGATAATTTGTAGAGAAATTATAAACAAATTTTAAAAAATTTGAAGTGTTAAGATTTTTGTAAAAAGCTTGAGGGAGAGAATAAGATAAAGGAAAAGAAAAGAGAGAAAATTTAAATTTTATTGTGATTTTACACTCTATTTAGTAAGGATTAAAATCAGATTTCTAGTAAATTTTAATAAAAGTTAAAAAGTTAAAGATTTCATTAAATGTATTATTAAAATTAATTGTTAACTTTAATTTAGATTAAAATTTAGATTTCAATCAATAATTAAAAAAAATCTTTATCCACAAAAATAAATAAAATAAAATCTCAAAAGTGGTGGGGATGACGTGACCCTCCAAGGCCCGCTTTGGGTCTGCCAATGGTTGCAGCAAAAAGGGGAAAATTAGGTAGAACTAGGTTCTTGAGTAAATCAATACTGTGATTACCAACTGAATCGCTGTCATTTGTGGGTCTGCTGAAGGTTGCACGGTCGACGATGTGGAACGTGGCTCAAGTGTGGGCCATTATTATCTTCTTGAAAATCAATACCACAATTTCTATTGAAAAATTTTATCCCATAATTTGCTTGCAATCTCAATTTCAAAATTTGAATTCCCTAGATTTGATAAACAATTCAATACCGTGTTCTCCATTTTTGGGACTATAATAGAAGCTGAAATAACAACCTGTTGCATTACAGGAATAAGTAAATACTTTCGAAACAAAGTTGAAATCTTTGATTATTATGGTAGATTTGTGGTGACTTCAGTTGAATTGTTAATTTAGGGATTTTTGTTGGTCTGAAGTAATTTGGATTCTCAAGTATGTTATCAGGTATAGAAATGGTGACTGAAAAGAGAAAAGGATAAAATCCCCATGCAGCATTTAAACCAATCTTGTGCAGATTAAACA